TTGTTATCTCATATCAAAATCTAAACATATTTTTTTCCAACTGTTTTCACTTGCAAACAGTGCTAAATCTGTGTATATTTCTCTTCTTAATTCAAACAAGACAACTCTTTCACTGGAGAAAGAAATATTATAGATAGAGGACCTAATTGATAGTCTGAGGATGAGTGAATGTTCATCAAATTTTCATTTTTAGGTGAACTGCTCCTTTAAGCACATTTTGGGAATTTTTTTTTGCATGTATTTGTTTCCATCCAGCAGTTGTTGTTTTTTTCAAGCAAGATCCCAAAAAGTATTTGGAAAGAAACCCGGCTCTATTCGCACAGTTCTAAAGATGTTTTATCATGTAGTAGAAGCTGAACTACGAGAAGCAACTGCTGCTGTAACTTTTCTCAGTACTTTTTCCCCCACAGTCTTGAGCTGTCTGACATTGCCTTACATTGACTGTTTTCGTGATTGGAGAACTTTCCAATTAAAAACTTTCTGTCTGAACTATTAAATGAACTATATTTTTGTAAAGTCAAGTTGACTCATGTTGAGCATGCGTGGTTATATTCCTGCTACGGTCTTTCTTTTCAGTCGAGCTCCTATCACTTATTTTTTTAGGGTTTTTTATTGCTTTGTGATAAGCAAGAAAATACAAATCAATGTTGTACTTTCTACTGAAGTGGTTTTCAAAAAATAGCTTTTTACTTTTAATTAGCATAGTCCAGAAATAAATAGTTCGGGGACGCAAAAACTCCTAACAATGACGTCTGGACTCAGCTGGAACCGCTCGTGTTATAGAGCTATTGATTTGCTAATTGTGCTCCGTCTCAGTTCTTTGTTCCTGTGGGTTGTGTTTAACTTACACGACTCAATGAATTTCTCAGGACCGCAGCTTGTTAAAAAGAAACTCCTACACTTAACGTCTGAGAATGCATTGACTCGCTGTGCCCCTCTGGAAAAGGGTTTCTAACTTTGTAAAAAAAACTTGCAATTCTTCTTTTATCTCCATCCAAAAGATGTGACATTCTTGGCAACAATACAGTGACTGGCGGCCTCCTTGATATTTCATTTAGATGACTTTGATAGCGGAGACTACGGAGGATCTCCAGGGACTCTGGCGGGCCGAGGCATCCATAGAGCTTGACGCAGGTTGTCTCGTTTCTGGATCTGTAGGGTGCTGCCGTGGTCCACGGGGTCGTCTCGACGTGTCTCTTATTCTCTCAACACCTGGGATTATGCAGTGTCTCTTTGAGTCTTAAAGGATTTGGGCAAATCAGAAAGGGCAAGTCCAGCAAGACTGAACTGAAGCCCAGCTATGGATTCAGATAAGCCGACTTACTCCATGGATGGCGCAACTGTTCTCGGTGCAGTGAAACAGCTGCGTCCCTGAGCTATGGCTTTATGTTGGCTGCTTTCGTGCTGATCTCAGCACAGCTCTTGGCAGCCCCTGTCTGATGGTTCCCTGGTGTGAGCGCTATGAATAGCTCTCTACCCCTCTTCATTTCCTCCTGTGTCCTGGCAACACTGATCCGCTGGCTGCCGGGTGCTGCAACACTGAAGCTGACAAAGCAAGGAGTGCAGAACTATCCGGAAAGCCAGATGTGAATGTGGGTTTGTGGATGTATGTGTCCAATTGTGAATGGGAGAGAGAAATACAGAAAGCAAAATGTGTGGCTTTAAATACGTAATAGATATTGTATTTCAGGAAAATGCTCTGGTTGAGCTTAGAATGCATAACAGGATGGAAATGAAGAGCAAAGTTTGCGATTGCTCAGGGAGGGATGGACAGTTAGCTTACATGAGGGTGTTGACTTCAAGTTGATAACTTCTTTAAATTGACATGAATATTTAGATTTCAGTATGATATTGACTAACATTGTTTTGTTTTTTTTTCCCAACAAAAAGACATCGCTTTACAGAGGATGATGTCATTAAGGAAATTATTTTGAGGCACAGGTAAAACCTAAAAATGCATTGCTTAAAAGCAGTAGGCTATTTATTAATAAAGCATATACATTCACTAATAAAATGTAATATAATATAATAAAACATAATATAATGAAATAATAATAAAATATAT